ATGTACATATATGTATAAAATAAGAACTTTGTTAAAAAAAGTAAGAAAAATTAATTCCAAAATTTTTTTTTCACTCAAACTCACTAATAACTTTAAAATGTTTTACAATTACCCAAAGATATTGTTTTGTGTTTTTTTTAAGTCGAAATAATAATAAAAAACCCTTTTTCAGTGGCTACCTACATATACCTAACATTAGAGACAGATATAGACTTAAAATTTTAACCCTAAAGCTCCAGGGGTCTGGACGATCAGCAATTTTTTATATATAGATTACAATAATATGTACTTAAAATAAAGATTTTTAATTCATTCGTATGTTAACAAAACGTATAAGGAATCACATGAGGCCATCTTGTGACGTGTCCCTAATACGAGCGCGTGTCAACAGTCAATAGTTCAATGGCGGATAGCGGTGGATTTTATTATATTTGTATTTATTTTGCCGCAAACCTTCCCACGGATGGCTTTCTAAGAAAATGCCGAAATAGAATAGACACCTTATCACAAAAATCATTACATATGGTGTTTCTTTTAAAACTTATATGATGAAATTAAATTAACTTTACGAAAATACTTTTTGTCATTCAGAACCAAACGTAAAATATTTTCATAGAATATAATTGGATCAATTATTCTTAGCCAATAATAAAAGAACTTGTTATAATGGCGTGAGCCGCAATAACAATAATCATTATGCATATAGGTATACGGTAGAACAGTATCAGCTATAATATTGTACTGGATTATTCTTTAAACAGATTTACGTATATGATAAGATAGCGTATTGATTACACGACTCTAATGCCGCCCGCGAGATAATAACACATTTATTCAAAGTCGGTTATCAAGTATTTTACAGAACTTTGCTTATGTATAAGAAAATATTATGTATATTTTATTACATAAAATACATAATGAAATGAATCACGTTCGTACTACTTCAGGATATTTATTAAGAATGTAAATTAGCAATTGTTAAATACGCTGTTGAACTCGTGGGGTAGTCAGATCAATATAAAAATGTAAATTATAAGATGCGCACGGCTTAGTCAAAGCCTTTGAAGGAAAGTAAAACATCAAAAAAGCAACATTTTCAGCTGAATAATGTCGAGACTCAATGTATTTCGATAAGACGGCAATAGAATATAAAATTTGAATGCGACAAGCGCGGGGCGAAGCGATAAAAATTCAATGCGGCAAGTAGCTTACGTAAGGCGGGCGAACTTGGGCGTCTAAGAATTCGTGCAAACTAAATTCGATAGTATAATTTAGTTATTCCGAACTAGTGGTTTTTCGCAATATAATCGACTTCAACAGATTTAGAAACGTGTTCTTGGAATCAGCAAATTAAACACATCGTAATCTATTTTGGGAAAACTGATGACGTTCATAAATCAATAATCCGAACGTAATTTTCTTAAAATAATGTATGCTAAGTCGATATGAGTCCCACTCTATGATTATACGTTATCTAAGTGTTGCTAGTGACTTTTAATTACTTTTTGTGATGTAAAAACGCATTATTTGCTTTCAGTAAATTCTAAACATTTTTGAAGACTTATTTATTTTTACGATCCTTTAATAAGCATTACAAAAAAATATTTGTGTTATTTGAATCTGAAGTTGTTCAGTAAATTATTTGGGAACATATTAAAATATATTCTTTGTAAATGAATAATTAAAATTTTTCTCCATTATTCTTGAGTAAATGCAATGAAAAGAAATTGGGCAGTGTATTATTCAGTAGTTTGTACCACTTGCAGGTGGGTTGGCGCCGCGCCAAATGTAAGAGGCCCGATGTTTGGCATCCGCCGTGTCGCTCGTACGGTGACCCATTAAACGTGAGCGCCAGTAAAGCCTAGCCTATTGATGCCGTATTTACTGATCGGCTAAGTACGGTGGGGTGAGCGCGATCTCTACAATTAAAACGAACGTAAAATTAGATGTATATCCATACATATAATAAAATTGTAACTAAGCCGAATCTGTACATTAAATATTTTTTGAAAAATCTTATTGAAATAGACATTATTATCGATACAGAGGCCGTATCTATAGTTTTTAGAATTTTTGTCTGTCTGTCTGTTACCGCATCACGGAAAAACCACTGGAGGGATTTTGATGAAATTTGGTATAGTGATAGCTGGTTATCCGGGTCAACATATAGAATACTTTTTATCGCGGGAAAATATCCCATTTCTGAGAAAAAATATAAAAGCTACAATGTAAGAGTATAATAATATGTAAAACCTAAGAATTTGTTTTTGGTCATCTGAATGCGGGCGGAGCCGCGGGCAATGCTAGTCTTTCTATAAGAATGATGAGCAAACGTCACGTCGCCTCTAATTAATAATACATTTTTCATTTTATGTTTTTTCCCTTTTGTGTTCTATTTTGGCTAAAAGCTCGCTTGCAAAATTTTTTTTAATAAAGTGAAGAGGTATTCGTAGTTTTAAAAATGAAAATAAAGAATATTTACTAACATATTTTCCAATATATACTAGACATTTTTATCTGACCTATAATGCCACATTCGATAATTATAATAACGTGATTAAATTATTTTTCGTATATTTCAACATACGTATATGAAAAAATAAAGTATATATATGTATATATAATACCTAGATAGAAAATCAATGAATTTTATAGCCTATAACTTAACATCGGTTATAACTAAAGTAGTCCTAAATGTAGATTCAGGTCATCGGCCTGAGTCGACTTGACAAATTTTCATGGGAAATGACAGCCTTTCCCGACACATGGTGATACCGCTTTTCGTAGATATATTACTAATTTTGCAATGTGCTTCGGATCTTTTAAGTTTTAACAAACTATAACCTATAAAAATGTAATATTGGTTATTCTGTCGTAGTGGTAGAAGTTTCAACGCCGGAGGTCGTGGATTCGAGTCGTATAGCAGGAAACATTGAAATTCAATTCAAATATAAACATATATTGGCCGAATTATACGTACGTCCTACAATATTTATTATGGTGTCGATGCAGGCGCATATTCAAATGTTACGCGTAGCGTAGTATTTCTATAATTATTTATACTAAACTATTGAATTATTTATTATAATGATAACGCGTTTTTTAACTAACTTTATATATATTTTAAGAGAGATATATGAAACTGAAGTAAAGATAATATACATTCGCTGAAGATTATAATATTATATTATATAAATAATATATTCCTCACAAAATAAAATAAAATTTTGAGGGGCTACGCGTTGAAGTCTTTTTAAGGGATCAAAATTCTCTTTTTCCGAGACCTTTTTTATTATTCAAGCATAGAACTTTTACCTCATGTGGTATAATTTTTTCAGAAGTAAAGAATGCTAGCTGAAGCTAAGTGAATACCCAAAATGAATAGCAGCAGTACGGTAATAAATATAAAAAATAATCATAAAATACAGAAAATATGATAATTTAAAATATGTGTAATATTACAATTAAATAAAATACACGTATTAAATAATATTTATTAATTTTTTTACCATATTTATTATTGGATTTAAAAGATAATAATTATTAACAGTTATGATTGAAATGGAAATAGAATTTCCCATAGAAACCTATATGAATATGACATAGTTACGACAAAAGCATAACACTACTGGCAAATCTCCGCCAGGAATTGCAATAAGCTCTGATAAGATATCGTTAATTTAAAAAATCTTATCGGTAGCTAAAATATCATAAGCGTTCATTTGCCTATCTTATTTAGTAAAATCGTCATTTACGTTCGCAATCAAAAAAAATTTTTTTTTTATAAAATTATAAAAAGTCTAAATATCATGTTTACAGTTAGAAAACTATCAGAAATAATTTCCAGCAGTGTTACCAAGATGGTACACAAAATAGATAAAAAATTGTAGCAAGAATAAAAAAATATTCCACAAAAGTAAAAAAAAACGTGACAGCTAATAGCCCTCTCTTTTGCTCTCTAACGATATTTAAGCCTATTAAACCCCAGCGCATTTACATATGAACACGTAATTTATTTTTCATATAAGCTTTCTTAATAAATTTTAAATTAATTGGAATATTTAAAAAATGTAATAAAGTTAAAAACATAACAGACAAGTACGGTTTATTCCCGGTCAATCATGGGACTTTGGTATGTCGTCAAATGCTCTATCTAATCGGCAGGTGCTAAGATGCGCTTGCACACGCTGGCGTGATGATGATCAATATTTACACTTACGCAGATGTGTTTTCGGCATGACGTAACGTATTTGGTAGTGGTCGTCGCAAGGACGCTCTACGTTCGTACGTTCTACGTTCAGGCTCATGCTAGAGCCGCTTGGAGACAACCCTCTATATCTCAAAATACAGAACTCTGCTAACGCGTTTCATGCAAAGACACCTTGATATAGAGACAGTGTAAAGTTTTCACAAACAAAGTTACTCTATGAATAATCCTAAACTGAACTTGGCGCAACGTCACTTATGTAACTTATAAATCGAGCCTTCTTATAAGACGTGAAAATAAAGTTTGTGCTCTTTAAAACAAATATAATATTTACTTTTTAAAAGTAAAACTTAAAAGTTAATTTGGAACACTCTTATTATAGTCATTGAAATTAAAAGAAATCTTAAAGAAATGAAAAGATAGAGTCGATGTGAATACTGATGTATTAGGAAAAAATATATAATAATATAAACACTTTAACACTCAAACGATATTAAACAGCAACAAAAAGTTAAACACCGGAATCAATATAAATATTAGGTGCATTTTAAACGAACTTGAACCCTCGAAGTCATTACACAGGAGGGTTGATCGCGGATAAGGCACACAGCGCTGTCGTATTCTTGAAAAATTTAAAAGAACCCGCAAATTCGAGTGAAAATGCAAATCTTTAGATCAGCTGATCGGCACACCCCAAGGGGAGTTATTATGCGAGAGCTTGGAAAACGTGTGCCGCGTTAACATAACCATCAGCTGATCGGAGTTCGGTTTGTATGGAATTAACGTTACTCACCGGCTGCGTTGGTCAGCCACCACCAGCAGCAGCAGGCGGCCACGAGCGCCCGAGCGCCGGCCATATCAGCGACAGCGCATCACACGCGCGCTCTCGCCGGCCGCCCCGGCGGACTGAACTGTGCGAGTCGGCCGCCCCGCGCGATCGATGCACGGCCGCCGCACGCACCCTCCGGCACCATGCCTCGCCACCGCTCCCCTCCACCCCACACCCCCTCCCTCCTCGCACTCTACTCCCCACCCTCCTGCACCCTTCCCACAGACGATTTCCCGAGTTTCCACGGAGCGCGCGCGCTGCCCTCCTTCCCGTCGGATCGCTGACCGCCCCTAATTGATTGGACCCGTTCATTTGCCGAATACGTTTTAGGTCACCATCGCCGCAGAGGCCTGCGCTGTGCGCATATTTACTCTGTGCAAAACTTGGCGAACTAGAGTTGTATGACAAACTTTACTCTCACATGACCTATACTATACCTACTCTATCTAAATATGCTCATTCATAATTTCATGATAGTGGTTATTTTTTATTAAATTAAAATACTACATATGTATAGGGAATTATTTAATGACGATATTCACAAAACGTCAGAAAACTTCTGTGGTCGTAAGTAAGTAGAGTCTTACTTATACTTACCTATTTCAGTCTAATTTTATAACAAGTTATTCTTAATCTAAAAATATATTTTAAATTTCATATATATAGAATCCAATTAAATTCATATTATTGATTCAAATAGTTTCTGTAAAAAAGTTATTTTGATACTGATTCTTACTTTGGCGTTTAACTTCCAAATAATTACACTATGAACACTACAATAATAATACTAGTTCATTTAATAATTAATTATTTTATACTAAATAAACTTGCTTAAAATGTCAAGGTCATTTAAAAGTAATTAAAAGTAATCCTTACAGAAGGATTTTTTTGAAATCACCCTTGGGTTGTAGCTTATTTTTTTTAAATTCAAACGAATTCTTACATCTTCTACCATTTTAAAATCGGTCAAAAAGGCAAAATCTTTCTGCTCTATGTTTTAATCCTATAAAACATAAATTAAATATAGAGAGAGACTCAATCAGTAAAATTTCGTATATTTTTTTATGAAGTTCGCAATTGAATTCTACACAACTATTCGCATGACTTATGTCGATTGTTCTATAAGCAGTTTTAAACTATACACTTAATTATTGAAAGCTCAAAAAGCTAATAATAATAGTTTATCACCAAATTTCTTTAGACATGGAGAATATGAGAATAATTTATTATAATTCTCACTTAAATTATATATATATATATATAATATATATATATACTGGTATTGTCCGCGGCTCCGCCCGCGTTCAGATGACCAAAAACCAAATTCTTAGGTTTTACATATTAGTATACTCTTACAACGCAGTTTTTGTATTTTTTTTCAGAAATGAGATATTGTCCCGCAGTAAAAAGTATCCTATATGTTGACCCAGACAGTCAGCTATCATCATAATAAATTTCATCAAAATCTGTCCAGTGGTTTTCTCGTGATGCGGTAACAGACAGACAAAAATTCTAAAAACTATAGATTCCCACTCTGTATCGATAATAATATCTATTTCAATTAGATTTTCCAAAAAATATTTAATGTACACATTCGACTTAGTTACAATTTTATTATATGTATAGATATACATAGTCTCTCCCTAAACCATAAGTTTTATTTAAAACTGGCTACTAATTCCCGTTTCGCTCGGGTACGTTTCTAGGTACGTTTTAATTTTTTTTAACGGAACCCTAAATCTTTTTCTTAAATGAAAGTAGCCTTCATAAGTTACTCCTCATAACATCAGCTGTCTGCCAGTGAAAGTCTCGTCAAAATCAGTCCAGTAGTTTCGGAGATTAGCCGGAACAAACAGACAGACAAAAAATTTAAAATTTTATTATAAGTACCGTAAATAAATTCATATGCATTTAGTAAAAAGCTAATATTTTGACATTTCAAACAGACGCTTCAATTTTATTAATATGTATAGATATATAATTTATCATATAATCTAACTCTACCTTTTTAGCAACTGCTTGTTAGGAGTTCCTAATGCTACCTTTTTTTCTTTTTAAGACTGTTATTGACTATAATATATTGACTTGTTTAATATATAAATAAATTATAATGATAAAAATTAATGCCTTCAATGCAGTAACAATTTTGGCATTATAAGGCAACCGAACTGTAATAAAGCTGTCTCTGTGACCGTTGAAACTCCCACAAGTTATCTCATATTTTAAAGTAAGTATTTTTAATTCTTTTACCCTTGTTTATTTTAGAACAAATAAAGTACAATACAATGTATATCGGAGTACTATTATATTGCGAATGTTTTTGTATGTATGTCTAATACTTGTTTTCTCTGAAACTGCTGGACCAATTTAAATAAATACTGATTATCTAGTTATATATAACATAGTCACTTTTTTTTATTTTTCACTGTTATTTGTTCACATTACCAATAGTAACCAAAAGTTTACTCTTAACCTGCCAATTACCTAGTATTTCCATTAGAAAATAATAATTTAAATCGGTCCAGTTTAATTTATTTAGTTGTATTTAAGTAACTTTATAAATAATACTAAGAAATTGTAACAACTTAGTCTATTTTTTTTAATATAGCAAAATTACTGAAAAAACTTGAATATAATGGCGACCTTGAACAAGAATAACAATTTTTTTTTCGTTATCCCTGTTTAAGATCTCCATATTCTAAGAGTCCAGTGAAAACTATGATTTAGTCTACGCTGTCCGTCCTCTCGTGTACTAACTCGACATTCAGAGCCAGCCGACTTTCCTTAATAACGTAAGAAGTAATAGAATATAACATTAATGTTTACTTAAAATATTTGTTCAAACCTTCTTTGGTTAACCCCTGTCTTGCGGGCATCTAATATTAGTAATAATAGTCAATTTAATAATTTTGATATCTCTACGCTTAAAGCGGATACTCTCGGCCGACTCATCGAAGTATAGACAATGTATAGTAGATATATGTGTATAGATAGATATAAACCGCTGAACCTAAAGAAATTTTACATCTGATTCCTAAAAAAATACAATATAGTAAGCGCTATGAAAGCAAGTGATGAAAAGCAAATCCTGAAGAGGTGAAAAGGGTTGGCAAACTTTGTATGGGAAACAAAAATTCAGATGTCAAATTAACGACAAGCGGAACCAGCGAAACCAGTGCAAGATGCTAGTCACTATATTTGATCAAATTCTGTCTAATATTTTTTGCGTGATCCGCGAATAAGTTATTATGAAATGCGCATTTAAGGACAGATATTGGCATCCTAAAAATATTATATTAATTAGCAGATTTGGCATCCGCCATTTTATTACTCGTATAAAGCATAAATGGAGACGACATCTGTCGCACTAAAAAGTCCTTTTTATAACTATTCATGGCAGCTTTTGTATCTATCTTTATAAATTATGAAAGACAATTCAATTTGGTAAAATGGTGATATTTGTACATGATGTCGGCGAATTTCAACTGCAAGATTGCTTTAAAGCAACTTTTGACTGATTAAAAAAAAGCTAATTGATTGAAAAAACAGTTAAAGCATTAGGAATAATTAGAAAACTTTAGAAATTGCTTATTAGAAATAGGTTTAAAAATAGTCTTTACATTCTTCCTTTGCAAATTAACTAACAAAGTAGTCTGACAAATTCTTATTTTATTACTATTCCCTCCACGACCGCGGACACGCCGGCGTTACAGTTAATTAATTTCTTAGAAATTTACCTGGAGGTGCTATACATTTATAATTTTCGTACCACGATGTCAATGACTAACAAAACGCTTTAATAATTGCCATAAAAGTACACTAGACTATGTTTCAACAATTAAAACTTAGTTAAGCCTTCAAATAGTAACTTCATACAACAAATACATACATAGTAAAAAGCGAACCCAATTTACGCTTTCAGAATTATACACATTTATATATAAGTTATACCCAGCTCACCATGGACCAGTATGTGGAGACGACTAAAACGACATCATATCCTAGAGCTAGAAGACCGACAGTGGCTCTGGGCAGCAGAGGAGTAGATGCTTTTAATAGGAAGCCGCTCCACATGACAGCATCACAGAACCGCTTTGCTCATAGTCTTAGGGCTGATTGCAAATACACACAGAGAAAAAAAAATAAGTTATACATAAATAGATCCTATATTTATACGTATACACATTTGTAGAACGCCGTGGTCGAAAGTGATCAAACACTTAAAGATTATGTCTATAAAGTAACGAAATTGTTTTCATTTATGTAATTTATTTTTGACTTCTAAAACATCTATGCAGTAGTTTGTCTCTGCACGCATATTATACTCAAATTATTACCTACACATTTTTTTTGGAAAGTCTTATAGTATAGAAATAGTCATTATTTTCGATACAGAGGCCGAATCTATAGTTTTTAGAATTTTTGTTTGTCGGTCTGTCTTAGAACGCATCACCAGAAAACCACTGGACAGATTTTGATGGATATGATGATAGCTGATTATCCGGGTCAACTTATAGGATACTTTTTACTGCAAGAAAATATCTCATCTCTAAAAAATCAATACTAAACGTTAAAAAGTTGTACGTAACGAGCGAGGGTGAGTCGCTAGTTTACCTATATATAAATATACAAGTATTGCTCATTTAATATTATATTAAATAAAACAGAAACTACAGATCTTCGGCGTAGTAGGCCAACGCTTTAACCATTAGGCTATTCAGACTGCGACGAAATTACGAACCATAACGGGTGGGTAAATCTTTTTGCGTGAAAATATGGAGAAAACGATTTTTCGCTAATTTAATAATGTATTCCTAACAGACAAAGTACTGTTTATAAAAATTATAAAACATACAGTAAAATACCGATAGATGACAGAGTACATATGTAGTAGCTCAGATTCTCTTATTAGTTAATCTTAGCACCGCTATGAAAAAATATCGGCAATAATATATTTTCTTATTACCTACATAGATATAAATTTTGCCTGCGACTGTTTCGCGTGTTTATATTTTGTTTCTTTTCTATTAAGGTTTTTGACATTTCTATTGATAAGAACAAGGTCCATGTGCGTGACAAATGCGAGTTGTAAATATTCATACTCGCTTACTTTCTTCACAAACTTCCTTCAAATAAGATAGTAATAGGACATCATCAATTTTAATATAACGTTAGTTACTTAAATATTAACACATACATATGTCAATTATATGTCCCATGTATTCATATACAAAGAAATTATTAGTGGACCTTACTACTTATTAAATATAGATATTTTGTTTACCGGAAATCGGAATTGATAATAACGCTCACCCGAAAACTGCTGAGCAATTATTTTTTCTTTTTGGCTTCGTCACAGTGGGATAAAAATAAGTGTATTTTATAACGCAACATACTTATATAAACTTACTTTAATTAATTTACTTTCTACTTTATAAAACCCTATGCAACTGAATAAAAACGCAAGCTAATATAATTGGTGACAATCAGAACCTTGATGCACAGTTCCTAACAAATCTCTTCAAAAAGCGGCTTCGTAAGGTGATTGTGACGTTAAGTAATAAATCAAATTAAAGAATAAAACCTGAAACTTCAAAGTCATAAATCCTGATTGCTTAAACACAAATTTGAACTTAAGCGTGTCACTTAGAGTTACTTTTTAAACAAAATAATGTGCGATAAAGTCCCGTTTTTATCCGACTGCGGCGAAGCCCAAAACAGGACTATGTGTTTGACCTGTGAGTCCGATCGTATATTTCCTCGTAACTACTAAATGGCTTAACTGATATTGATGATTGATACGTCGTTAGATTCGTCTTTATCAGACGAGTATCATAGTACATATAAATATTATTAAAAATAAAAATGGCACATTTAAAGAGCGAATATGTATGTCTTTATAAAAAAATCTTTCAAATCGGTCAGGGTATCAAAATGACGGTTTTTAAGAGGCGATCACAAATATATATATACCTTATATGTTTAGAAGTAAGTTGAAATAAGAAATTGTAAAATAAAAAATTATAAGCTATAAATAAAAAGATTAAATTATAAAAATAAACTCGATTAATTATCTACACTCAAATAGCTCTATTATCTCTGAAATAGAACACTGTGTTGTGTGTTTTCAAGTGCACTAACAGAGGGAACTAGGTTCAGTGTTGAAAAAAAAATATAACTAATAAATATATAATAACATAAATAAAATATAAACAAATATTACTAATATTCGACTATAAACGATATTATTTTCTGCTGCCGAGTACTTTTCAAAATGCTCGATTGTGCGGAGCGTTGCTGTAGTTGAAAAAAATCGAAGTTAGCATTATGCCGCATAATGAGCTTTAGTGCTCTAATTGGAAAACGGATACAATCTTTCATTTGTCACTTCACACTTGTCAGTTGTCACTTGTCAGAAGTCAATAAACAAAAATCATAGAGTATATTGCTACATATATAAATAGAGGTACAACTCGTCGTCGAATCTGGTAATGCTTAAAAAGCGCCATCTCTATTGTAAAGTGTGAAACTTACTATATAGGTATATACGTAGCTATATATATATATTCATATTATTGTTAATTAATATTTTTACTTAGGCGCAAAGGGTAAAAATAAAAAAAAATATATGTGTTATAATTTATTTGAACATTAATAATTCTTATAACAATAAAATTTAAATATATACATCGTCCTTCAACTAACTTAACTTAGTAGTAGACTTTACAAAGTTGGAAATGCTTTACCATCATTTCACTAGTTTTACACCTGCTAATAATGGTAATTATAATATTTTATGACCAAAAAATATTTACAGTACCTAAACAATATTAAATACAGAAACAAACATATTATATATATACATAACAATCATTACTGATTTTATATTTTTGTCAACATAGAAGGTCTGCCGTCTGGTAGTCTCTATTGCCGTACGAGGAGAACTGTATTATGGCATATGCCACAAATAGCACGATATTAAATAAATAATAACAAGACATTACATAAACCAATCAAGCTTTCACATATAACAAAAAAAATAAGAAGCAGAAGACAAGAAAAAGAAAAATAAACAACTAAAACAAAAATAATATTTATACATCTAATTAAAAAATAACAGAAACAATGAGTAAAATGTATCTATCTATACATTTAACAAAATTCTAACTTATATATCTATAAATTAAATATTTTGTTAATCAATTTAACAATACAGAGGACGAATTTTTTACAATTTGTCTGTCTGTGATTAAATCACTCGAAAACCACTGGACAGATTAAATGAAAATTTGGGATGATGACAGTTGGTTAACAAGGTAAACACATAAATTAACTTAAAAATGATATGATGACGGACCCGAGCGAAGCGAGGTCCAGTCATTAATATATTTATAGCATAAAGGACACAAAAAAAAATATTTAAGTTTCATTTGCATAATGACAAGTTCGACTCAGTTTGTAGTGACGCTACTGGCTATACCAGCGGTCGCGGGTTCGGGTTCTGCTGAGGGAATTTATTCATGAGCACAAATGTTAGTATGGCTTAATATTAAAGACATTAATTTTACTTTTATTACATTTGCTTTTCTTTGGATGTGGTTTGTTGATGTTGGTAACAGGGCCATCAGATTAATCCTTAAATGCACACTAATTCATCCTTACTAATTCTGTTGTAGCGACATAGATATTTTAGTTCAAAATGTGTGCGACACACACGGCGATACTTAAATATGCTCTTATTCTCCATGCCCACAAGATCACCGCCAATTGCATTGAACCACATGTTAAAACGCTGTATATCCTTTTCTGGGTTTGGGAATACATGAAGCACTTGACGAACATGTAAAATAAATAAAGTTGAAGTGTTAAAATTGGGAATTTTTTACTACTATTTTTCTAACTTACTATTAAAGACACATGAAAAGTAATGAATTAAGACTATACAATTTTGTCGCTGATTTATTTTTTTAAGTAATAAATTATATATATTTGTTAAGTAATAAATTTTAGAACATAATGCTATTAATATTTTGTAGTCGCAGACATACACGCACGCAGCTATTCTAAAACATGTAGTACAATAGTACCTATATGTATGTCTCCAACTGCATAATACTATGTTCCTTCGTCATCTTGTTCTTTTCATTTTAGGCCGCTTTTTATGCAGTTGGATTGTTTTAATTTTGGTTAACATTCTTTTATTTACAACTTTTTAAGAGAATTAGACATTTTTAGTTTTATATAACAATTTCTTATCTAATAATTTATATAACAATTTCTTATCTAATGTTTAAAAAATAAGTTGGTTTGAAGTTTAATATTGTAATAATTCTAAAGTAATTATGTATTAGGTTTCAAAGTTGATATTGTTTTAAAAAAATAGGTTGGTTTGAAGCTTAATTGAAACTTAATATTGTAATAGTTCTAAAATTTAAGTGGGAGTGTTAAGTGATAAATTTTAGAATGCATAATCTAATATCTTTGCTTGCTATTTAAAAAGTATCTATTCCTTGCCGCTTGGTGCATTATATGTTATGTGTATTCTGTCAAAGAAATCATGCTCATATATTTTTTTTTAAAACCCAAAATAACATTGATTTTTGGTTCCTGACGTTTCGAATGCTATACAGCAATCAAGTTATGGTTTGGTGTGTTTAATTGATATTAATATCTTAATATATAATTATTATGGACTGGATTATGAAAATATGAATAGGAATAAACAAAACAAGACCAAAATAGAGTACATAACATAACAATCATAATCATGACTTGTACCAATTAATACAAGAATAAGAAAACAGCTAAATTCAATAGTTTTAAGTGTTTATTAAAATAAATTTAAAATAAGCTGTAGGTGCAGTAAGTTGGCAGCTATTACTATTTAAGGTAATTACTTTTATGAAGTTCTAATCTTTGGGTTTTATAGGGAGTTAAAAAAGTAGTTCATATATCTGACATAGGTACCATACCTTTAGTCTCCTTACATCCAGGAACGCAGCATTGCTTGTCTGATGGCATGATTGGGCCTCGAACTTCTTGATGAGCACACCAAAAATGAAAAATCCTGCAAAATAAAAAAACAAACGCCAGAAACGAGTCCTAACTCAGTTCTACTAACTACGAAATTGCGATATGTTGAGATCACAGTCATATGAATTTATCGGAGGAACATAAGCTCAACTCAACGATAAAACACAATAACTGGCACTTAGTTTGGGGAAAATTATAAATTTTTAAAATATCACACTGTTAAAGATACCTGTATCACCAACGGCGGATATTTAAAAAGTAAAAGTCAGGTAAAAACTCATCTCATCTGGTCTCAGCAGTGACATCTATTGAACGAATTCAAAAAAAATTATAAGTTTTACCCTGCCATCTCTATTGTAAAGTGGGACAACTCCAATATTTGAATTACCACGTGATTTCTATATAAGTTGAATGACCCTGACAAAAATATTACACTGTATTTGCAATTTAGCTAGGAAGTAGGAATTGATTGATTGAACATTTGGCACGCTTCTTAGTCTTAAAATAAATAATTCATCCAAATTCAGATATATTATAGTGATTTTACAAAAAAACAGGGATGATTATAGTACAAAATTCAGAGAGAGTATATGTTGACATTTAATGAATGTATTTTTAGTCATATTTAATAATTAAATGAAACTGAAACACGGCTATTATGATGTTTTCATTCGGATATGTGCTAGGTATTCATCTAAAACTGCTATCAGACACTACACAGATGGCATTTATAAGAATTATACATACTCGGAACTGTATGGAGTATGTGAATATATATCACAAAATTTACAACAGCTAACATGTAAGAAGGGAATAATTGGATTAGTTTCCGAAAGAAATATCATCATTCCGTGTGTTGTTGCTGCGTAAGTCTCATTTTTATTTACTATAGTATAATTTACATTGAGGGGAGTAAATAGTATGTATATTTAAAATTGCTCTGCATACAATAAAATATGTAAATCTACTCTTTAAAAGGCAAAGATAATGGTGAGTGGAATATTATGTTAACATCTGTTAACATATATTATGTTATCATAAATATATCTGGTAGAATGATTTGGATTCTGATGAGTGAATAGATTTGAATATTGATGAATGAATAAATTAAAAGTGTTGAAATCTTCACATGATCTAAGTTCACTTAAACTTATAATGAATGATGAAAGACTAATATCTATGATATAAACATGAACAGGTCTATTTAAAATAGGAGAGACCTCATATGATTTTAGTGACTAATTGATTGATATACTTAGGTTGGTATGATGGATATTCCTGAATACCTTAACATAAAAACAGTGGATTATTATAATGTAAGGCCCGAAAAGTAGTAAAAAGCAGACATAAATAATTGGCCATGCTGATATATTAGTATGTATATAAAATAAATATATTATGAATATCATGATTAAACAAAGCAATCATTTTTTTTTAATTTTCAGGGCTCACAAATGCAGCACAGCATTTATGTTCCTTGATCCAACTCATGACATAGAAAAAATTGCTAATGATGTTAAATTTACTATAATAATTACAATAAAGGAGTTGGAAAGGAATGCATCATCATTATCATCAGAACTATTTAATAAGAAACCAGATAAAACATTGACTGTTTTTAATTTAGTAGTTGATTTATATAATGTAGATATAAATGGAAGTCACCATAGTTATGCAACTGATCATTCTTATATAGCAATGACGTCTGGAAGTACTGGTGAACCCAAACACATTCAAGTTCCAGTACAGTGTATGCAACCAAACATAGAAGATTTGACTAAATTATTTGAAATTACTCCAAGTGATGTAATATATTTTTCCACTCCTCTAACATTTGATCCATCTATGATAGAAATTCTATTAGCCTGTATGAATGGTGCTTCACTACTGATTGCACCAGAAAAGGTTGATATTCTATTTCCCGAGAAGAATGAAAACTCAATTACAATTTGGCAGACAACTCCATCAAAATTCTTTCAATATTCAAATTTAGATATAAAAAATAAAATTTTAAGTGCAAATTCAACACTTAAAATATTGGCCCTAGGAGGGGAACCTCTTAATGGTATAAAAAGATTGAAAGAATTAAAAGATACAAAAAATAATACTAGAATTTTTACACTGTATGGTGTTACTGAAATGTCTTGCTGGGCTTGTGTCGCTGAATTGGATCTGAATAGGATATTAAATGACCGGGAAGTGCCTTTAGGAAATTGTCTATCTGAAACTGAAATTGTATTAGGACCTCCTCATAAAAATAACACAGGCAAAATTATTTTAAGTTAGTAAGTTGTTATACAATGAATTTGCATGTAAATTGTTATTTATTTTTAATATAGTTTTTCCTACACAAGCTTTTTACCAAGCCTTAACCAATCGTAAACTTCTGTGTACAAAAATGAATCCAGACATACTTATGTTCTAAAACGTTATAATTTATTTTTAGCTATCTTTTAGAAATTATCAGAATATAACTTAATTGTACATAGAAAGTTATACATTAATTTGATTTAAGGATTTTTCGAATATTAGATATTATACATTGTTACATTTAATTATTTTGAGAAAAAAAAAAGATAACGGTTTTTTAATTGCAGCGAGTAAGACAAGAAAATGTATGATACTTAACAAAGGTATTAGTACAGACGAACGAAGTATAAAGTATATTGACACAGGTGATTTGGGAGAACTAAAAAATGGCACTATATATTACAGAGGTCGAACCGATGATGTTATTAAAAGATTTGGAAATAAAGTTAACTTACAAACCATAGAGACCACAATAATGCAGTGTCCAAGGGTGAAGACATGTTCATGTATTTGGTTGCCAAAGCCTATGTTACTAGTTGTATATTATTCTTCTGAAACTCTCAGTAGTCAAGAGTTATCAGATTTTTTAAAATGTAAGTTGGATGATAAGCATTGGCCAGACAAAATACTTAGAGTGGATAACCTACCAATGAACCCTCATGGGAAGACCTCCAAAACAATTTTATCTCAAATGTTCGAAAAGACTCATATAAAACAAACTTTTGAGTCCTTAAAAGTGCTACTATTAAAGGAATTTAAAAGTCTATTAAATAGAGACTTTACATATGATGAAATTAAACATAAGGATTTTTTTTCTATTGGCGGTACCTCATTTCTAGCAGTTGCATTGTGCAACAAAATATCCAATATTTCTCCTTCATTTGGAAAGTTTATCTTACCCTACTTGATTTCTCAAAAAAACACAATAGGTGAGATAATGTTATTAGCTACAAAAGAATTAGGACTTGAAGAAAATAAGCCAAAGAAAAGATTAAAGAGATCCAGATCTATAACCGAAAGTTTATCAACAAATCAATCGGTTAAAAAAATAATGGAAAACCCCTCACTGACTCTTGTAGATTTTGTTGTTGTTTGGACTTATGATACTGGGAAATGTGTCGATGCATCGCCTACACTATTCCAGAGTGGCCTGTAAGTATTAATTTCTTACAGAATATATTTAATTAGCTTAGAAATTTTTTTTAGAAACAAAATAAAACATATTTCCTTTGCATTGAATGCCACCCACTGTTCACTGCAATGGTTTCAAATCTTAATCAATCAATTTTAACCTAATTGTTATCTAATCTAATTGTTATATCAATGTGTAAATTGTATGAACTACTAGTAACTCACACTCGCTTCGCTCGCGTTCGCCCCTAGGTACATTTTAATTTTTTTGAGCGGAACCCTAATTCTTTTACTGAAATAAAAGTAGCCTAATTTACTCCTCATAACATCACCTATATGCCAGTGAAAGTCCCGTTAAAATTGATCCAGCCGTTTTGAAGATTAGCCGGAACAAACAGACAGACAAACAAAAATTTACAAATTGAGTTTTTCTTATAAATACCGTGTAATTCCATATGCATTAAGTAAAAAGCTGTTATTTTGACATTACAAACAGACACTTCAATTTTATTTATCTGTATAGTTATTAACATATTCAGCAACAGATTCCAGAAAGTGGAACAATTGTACCTACTATAAAACTTTCTAGTTTGAGTTACTGCGAGTTTTTGAATTTTCTAAAACAATATTTCTTATCTCTATTTCAGCAATCTGTACGTGACCGTGGGCAGTCATTCGGGGAAAATCGTTGTTATTGATGCAATAAGCGGTATAACGCAAGGCGCAGTCAAGGTGAAATCACGGGTCGAAGCCCCTGTACTATGCTATAGCGATCCTGAATCGTCCACGCCCTACGGTTTTGTTGGCACCTATGATGGTACCATCATATGTTTTAAATTAGAAAATTGTACAGAAATATGGCGAATAAACATAGGCTCTATGGTTAAAAGCAAAGGAATATATAGTAAAGGATGTCTATACATCGCTTCATATGACGGCTTCATACGCTGCATTGATGCTACGGTAAATATTAAACGGTCAGCTGTTATGATAAGGTTTTTTTGTTCTTATATATAGAAAAAATATATTTATTGTAAAGGCAATTAAGCTTAAAACCACTTGAATGTATTTGTTATTTCGCACTTGTGAAACAAAGAGATTACTGTATATTATAGATATTTCATAGTGTTAGGTAACAAGCATTGTTATCTCTATTAAATGATAATTTGAAATGTTTTTAATGAAATTATGTTCGATACAACTTGAATTAATATTTTTAAATAGCAACCAGAACGTTTTGAATATCTCTTCGGATTATTTCGCAGATTTATTTTGATTTTTGGTTGCCGACGTTTCGTATGCTTTACAGCAATCGTGGTCACGGGAGTCTCTTAAGAAAGATAATTTTATTTAAAACTAGCATTGCCCGTGGCTACGCCTGCGTTCAGATGACCAAAAACCAAATTCTTAGGTTTTACTTATTAGTATAATCTTACATTGCAGTTTTTGTATTTTTTCTCAAAAATGAGATATTTTCCCGTTGTAAAAAGTATCCTATAAGTTGACCCGGATAACCAACTATCAACATACCAAATTTCATCAAAATCTCTCCAGTGGTTTTTCTGTGATGCAGTAACAGACAGACAGATAAAAGTTCTAAAAACTCTAGATTCGGCCTTTGTATCGATAATAATGTCTATTTCAATAAGATTTTCCAAAAAATATTTCATGTACAGATTCGGCTTAGAATTATATTGTATGTATATATTCGCGTAAATCTAAGTCTTACAGAATGTTTTGATTAATTATGAATCTTTTAGATGGAGGTTGCTTATGCTTAACACACCTTGGGAGTTGGGTTTGTAAATAAATTACACATTTTTTGTACAAGATATAACTTCTAATTAAATGACCAGTCAGTTGGAATTTACTGAAGTTTGTAACGTAATAGAAGTTAATTATAAAGTTTCTTTGTGCCATTTTTAATGTTTAATTAACATTGAAATTATTTTAACCAGCTACTTTGTAATTTATTGTATTCATTACCAAATTATTATTAAAGCCTTCGTACCAGTATGGCTGGGCATTGTCTATTCTAATGCGTTGAGATCACGGGTTCAATCCCGTGTTACGAATGAGTTTTTGCCTATATCGTGTACTAGCTTTTAAACGCGGCTTCTCAAGTTTATCTATGCATTATTCTAAGTGCCTTCAACATTCCTCGATAAATAGGCTTTAATTTAAAAAGATTTATTTTAAATCTCACTGCTACTTTCAGTGATAAGCGCGTTTATACAAACTATCTCTTATACTTTAGAACATTAGTATCTATAAATTAATAATAATTATGCAGACAATACTTTAAATGTAATAAAAATTGGCGCGGTGCGGTATTTCGCCTTCAATTATGCAAATTCACACTTAACCACATGGATGGATGGATGGAATTGTTCATTGTTTTTTTTTGTTAGGAAAAAACTAACTACAATTTAGTCTATATTTCATAGAAATTATTAAATACATGATATTTTTTCAGTCAGGTGAAATAAAACACGCAATACACATAGCCGGCCAAGCGATATCTGCTGACTTAGCCCTAGCTAAGAACGAGTTCATTCTACTTGGCACTTTATCAGGAGTGTGCGCGAGTGTACACAGCGAGACGCAAACCGTGGCTTGGCGCGGCACAGTTGGCAGCCCTGTGTTTTCAAGCCCAGTTCTCTACGATAATGATAAATACGTGGTCTTTGCGGAAGTAAATGGTGAAATACACTGTCGGACTGTTGAAAAAGGCATCAAGGTGAGCTATTTGCACTTTTTTTGCTTCATTTTTTGCTAATACTTTGTTACATTACATTTGATATTTTTTACAGATCTGGAAATATCAAGGTGCTAAAGGGAACATATTTTCTTCAATATATATTAAAGAAGTGGAGAAATTCAAATGGCGTATGGTTTTTGGCTGTCATGATAACAAAGTTTACAGTGTCAACATAAAGAACTTTCAGCCAACCTTGTATTGGAAAACTCAACTCACATCCCCAGTTTATTCAACACCCTGTAGTTTGAAAGAGAAGTATATATTAGCAGCATCCAATAATGGAATATTATGTATACTCAATTCTGAGACTGGTACAATAGTGTCAGACTATCAATTGCCAAATGAAACTTTTTCATCTCCATCAGTATATAGAAATTACATTTTTATTGGTTGCAGAGATGATCACCTTTATTGTATAAAATATGTAATGAATGTATAAAATACAGAGTTTGAAAATAAATGTGTTTCTAAAAAAAACAATTGTTGTCTGAAACATTTTAAGCATTACTGTTATCTTTGTGTCCAATCATAGATATCAATTTCATTGTTGGCTTTAAAATTGTCTAGTACATGATATGGTTGTGTGACAAATTGTATTATATATAAACAATATTGAAATAAAAAGGTTAAAATAAAAATAAAGCATTTTTTAATCAGTAACTTTATTCATGATCTTACACAACATTTAGGTGTATAGTGAGCATTCATACATTGACATTATTTAAATGATATGGATACACAGATGTAGAACCAGAATGGAATGCATTTCCAATGCACAAACTACCCTTCTCTTGTGCAGATCATTACATGCTTCGACCTTAAATTATATATAAAAGCATCCTTAAATGATGAATAAATCTTATAAATAACAATCTTTATATTTTTGTATTATTGTTCAATAAAAATAAAATGCTACAGTTATAGAATGAAAGAGCTGGTCAACTCTACAGCAACACATCAAAGCTCAAATTTTTCCCAATATCCCTAATTGAACATTTATTTAGCCAGTATATATAAACAAATATTAAAATCAACAAGCAATATACATAATATGACAATATTTATTGCTCTTCCTCCCCTAATTCCAATTTAACCTTGGAAAAGTCAAAATCTTCACCAGTGCCTCTCTTATAGATCTTAAGAACATCTAAGCAAGTAGTTTCAAAATGTGTGGTAGCGTCATAAGATTCAGAAATAAAGATTTGACTTTGGCTACCATCATCAGTAGGTTCATAGTAATCCGTAAGGGACACAAACTTTTGTCTAATGGATCCCAAGAGATCTAGTCCTGGCTTAATCTCAGTCTCAGGATCATTAGTCTCAACTGTAGTAGATACCATGGCAATAAACCAGCCTTTAGCAGCAACTTGATGGGTGTATGATACCAGAGACACATAAATGTCAGAATTCCTTCCAACTTGCTTTTGTGGTATGATGATCTGGGTAGACAGCGCATCTTTAGTATTATTGATAGGGTGGTCTAACAAACAAATGCATCGGATCACTTGTCCCTTCTTACGAACTCTATCGGGGACATAGCTGGGGTCACAGTACACTTGCTTACACTTGGCCACCTCATTGCCTGAGCGCACTCCAACAACTCTTCCTCCTTCACCAAGAACAATCTCATCAATAGGCTTGTCTAACATATAAGTTCCACCATAAATAGCAGAAAGCCTAGCAAAACCTTGAGGCAGTTCTCCTAAACCATACATAGGATAAAGGTATGGTGACTTGCCATACCGGGCAAGAGAATCGGAATAAAGCTTGATGCGACGAATTGTTTGAATTGCAGGCTGCTGGAGGTAAGTATCATCCAGATACAGAGCCAAAGCATGCCCTGTGAAATCTTGGGTGTTTTTATCCAAGCCGAATTTATCATAAAGAGATTGCATATTTGCTGTGCTAGGATCAAAGTCCTTCCAAGTCTTAGCATCCTCTTCTTGGAAATCTTGGACATATATCAAGAAATTTCGGAAACGCCTTTTTTCAAACATACCCATCAAATCCGATGCCAATGCCTCCTTTTGGTCCACGGGAACTTTTGAGATCTTACCACCCTTGTACACATAGCTACCCTCAACAGATTTAAATTCAAGGTACCGGGTGACGCCCGTATGGATTAATAGTTTTACAAGAAGTCCATTCGCCATTAAAAATTTAGGAATTAAATCCACATTCCAATCGCGACCACGTCCATAAGATTCATCAGGTGTTGGTGCATTGAACTTTGCGAACAATTCTTCTAACGGGGTAATTGATGCCGATTCACCACCGTAATACTTGTTACGATCAATGTGCAATACCTTTTTTCCAGACACAGAAAGCATTCCGCTGAGAATACATTCCTTCAGGCCGGTGCCCAAAACGATTGCATCGTACTCTTCATCCATGCTGATGAAAAATTATTACAATAAAATTCCTTTATGATTAGAAATATATGATTAACCGGGGAACAAATGTCAAAATGTCGGAAATTTCAGAAAACTAAACGAATATGTCTGCCGGGGATGACGTCGACGAGTTGATATCTATACCAACATAAAGAAACTTACCATAATTTATTTTAAGTTTTAAATGTGCAAAATACGCAAAGGATTTAGACTACACATCTCATAAAAAATAATTCTGACTTCATTGAAATATTTATTTCTAAAAGAGAAACATCATTATTTAATTAGGAGGCATAAATGTGTTGTTTTAAGTTATAAATTATAATATATAGGTATAAGCTTTACATAAATATTTTATATAGATAATTAAATAGAATGTCCCTCTTGTATCTAATTACAATAATGACAGTAATCATATTCTGATAAATGTTTAAATAATATAAATAAAGAAGAGGTCAATGAATAGTAGGTGCATCCACATTACAATTTAGAACTCAGAAGAACTGTAATCTATGGTTTCAATTTGTATTGTTGTCACTTGTCACTGTCAGTCGGTCGGTCAACTTTGCTTGTTTTTGAGTTTGTCTTGTGCACACTTCACGTGCGACTGTATCTTTCGTGGCGGTCAAATATTACTGTATACTATCTTGCAATCTTCTTATCGAAAAATGTTTTTAGTTCTAAAACTTTTTTAATCACATAAATTTTGTGTAAACATTCGCTTAATATGAACGGTAGTGATGTGTAAAACAGTGAACGGATGATTTCAAACCATATGCTTCAACTTTTCGACACATTCTCTTTAGATGAATTGAGAGCAATAAAATACACGGTCCGGCGCACTAAGGAACGAGATTTTAAATGAGAGGAAAAAGTGAGCTGAACGACCTTCAGATGAATAAAAATGTCAACAGAAGGAAGTGGAGAGACTCTTTCGGCGATACCGAATTTGCCAGGAGCACCAGAGCAAACGTATCTTTTTCCGAAAGTGAAAGGACATTCGAGATCCATAAGTCATGGAGGGATGCCAATGTTGGCTGGAAACCCAGCAACTGCTCGACCGCCTCTCAAATCGGCAATGCGGGGTCATCAGAGGGCCCTGTCCCACGGTCAGATCGGCGAAGGACAACGTGCCGCTTCTGGACCTGGTCACAGTCGAACCGGTAGTCGTACAGATTTTATTCTACCTCCAGGTCATCGAGAGGCTGCTCCGGCGAGTGCTCAACCTCGCTTATCATCTGTACGAGGGCATCACTCTCGTCAGGCATCGCGCTCTGATTCTATCTACACTTTACGTCGAGCCTCTGTAGTGGCACCATGGCGTCGTGCGGTTTTTTGGTTAATGCGACGTCAACAGCCAGCTGTTGATAATAGACATTTAATAGTTATTCCCAATCATCTTGTCCCTGACAAAACTCCACCTAAAGATCATCCAAATGGACAGAGATGCAATAATAAAATCAGGACTACTAAATATACATTGCTCTCTTTTATACCTAAAAACCTCTTTGAGCAATTCCACAGGATTGCAAATGTGTACTTTATATTTATAGTGTTATTAAACTGGGTACCAGCTATTAATGCATTTGGCAAGGAAGTGGCTATGCTACCAGTGTTATTTGTGCTTGGAGTGACCGCTATTAAGGACTTATTTGAAGATCGTCGAAGACACCTATCCGACAAAAGAATAAATAATTCTTTCTGTAGAGTCTACAAAAAGTAAGTACTGTACTCTCTTTAACTTTATATGTAATTATTAGTAGACAATTAACTAAAAAAGTCACTCAGTCATCACTGTACTGTACTACATATATACTGTGTGTGTGTGTAAATATTCCATAAACAATTGCTTTTTACACTAAAAGGATGACATCTACAATATTTTGTGGAATATTGCACAATCTCTGTTTCTGATAAATATTTTGTAACATTTCATATACCATAACAAGCATTCAGAGCCATTATTATCAATATAAATTATATTTACTTATAATTATATTTTGAACATTAACAAATTAGTTAAAACTTTATTTGATTTATTTTTATAGTTCTAGAAAATTATTCAAATAACAAGTACCAAGTAATTCATACTAATAAAATGACACAAACACAAACAGTGTTATTACATAATAATGATATAGTTAGTAAAACAAATGTTAATTGTAGAAAATTGTTCATAGTTTTATAAAATAGTAATCCTTAAAGAATCTTCTACCATGAGTTTCTTCTATATCTATAATTCTTTATAGTTTGGCCTAGAATTCCTTTAAAGAACAGGATATATTATTTTTGTACAAATTAAATACTACTTTTCTATTCAAAGCAGAGAATGCCACAATCTGCATTACAATAAAATCATATTTTAATATCAAAGTAGCTAAATAAATTATTATAAAAAAATTGAACATATCCTATGTTCAAAATTTTTGTATTGTTGCTTATTATGATGTCACCTAACAATGCCAATCCCATGTGATGTAGACTTAAAAGATAGCACATATGACATACATGATATACCACAACTCACAAGTACACACCAGATGAGGTAATTATCAATAACAAAGACCTAAAATGTTATAACATCACTTTATTTCAAGCTTTATCTCAAAGACATAAAGCTTGAAACATATGAATATTGTTATTCCTTATATAGGTAGTTGTTTTTATAACCATGTGCCTATTTATTAACACCCACAAACCATTATACCTATAAGTCAATTAAAAAATCTATCAACTGCTTTACATGGACATTATCTCATAGAATAGTATATAAATACCATTTACCTATAATATTTAAACAATATTTAATAGTCACAATAATTTTGTTTACAATAGGACAAAAACTAATATGGCAAATTTTAGCGCCGGTAAAAAGCGAATGAAACGCAAATGTTGTAAAAGTGTACAAATCAGCTTCTACAGCTAAGTAAGAGCGTCCTAATTTGCATAACTTACTAGTTTATTGATATATCGTGAGTTACTCACTTTCACTACCTACTCTATGTAGATCCGGGTCTTTCCTGTGACGTGCGTAACATTCATAACGCTCATATAATCCTACCATAATATTAGAATCGCGAAAGTTTGTGAGGACGGATTTTTGTTTGTTAGTCTTTCGGGCAAAAACTACTAAACGGATTTTGATGAAACTTTACAGTATATAATATAGCTCATACATTAAAGTACCACATCGGCTATAAGTTTTAAATATTTAATAATATATAATATAATTACTCGTGCGGGGCCGTGAGAAAACGCTAATAATTCATATTTACTTACTACGTAAATATTTTAATAAATATGAATTTCAGAACGCTAAAAAATAAAAAAAAACATAGTAATATTTGTAATTGAAATGACATATAAATATACGTAAATTAATAATACACTCAATGAGTTGTATATCCGGTATTGTATTTATGCTGAGAACACGTCTACCTTGTTTAAATGAATTTACATCAACTACAGGTATCAGCGTATCAAGCATTTTATTGAGTTATAAAGAGAGAGAAATCTTTGAATATAAGTTTGATTTATCTATTCTTTTAATGTACACTTTCATATTCTTCCAAATCTTTACAAAAGAATAGTAGTACTTAGTAGTCTACAAAATGTTTTTATTACCTTTATTAAATAACTATAAAACGATTTATGATCTATCTATTGATAATACATTCGTTCTTTTAATTTGTAAAAAAATAAAATTCACTTTATTATAAAGTAGGTATTAATAAAATATTTAATTTAAAAAGTTGAAAATACTAATACTTAGTATTCAAAATTAAGATACGACTCTCTCGAATCACACGACAAATGATAATTATGTTTTCGTCAAATCGCATTGTAGGTATTGTTAGTTATAGTTGCTCAATTGACTATTATTGTTTATTATTTAAGGATCATATTGATTCTTCATAATTTGTTAGTTATAATTTTATATTTTATTATATTAATTTGATATTGATTATTTATAATGTATTATTTACAATTTTATAATATTAATAACGATATCGGTTAGTTGTATTTGTAATATTAATGTTTTAAGAGTATTGTCATCTACCGTTGGGAAATGTTATACGTAGAAGACAGATGCCGCCACCTTACACCCAACGGTGGGGAAATGATGTATAAATAGTTGTAATTGCCATTTTGTAAGGATTCCTGTTAAGTGATCGAAGTAAAGAGGAACTGCTGAATCTCTGTAGTCTTATTTCAAATTTATTACTAACAGTCAGAAGTGTTTCGAATTTAACTTTGTTATTACCACGTGCCAGTATAGACCGTCAGCATATCCTATCAAGAATTATATCAAGCGACTCCGAGGACGAAATAAGGGCTTCGCCACCACCAAAAAGGCAAACTAAAACTCTAAACGCACGACGCCGTTCAATCAAACAACGGCTAAAGCCGGTTGGAGAAAATATTGGAAAAATAATTAATCCGCAACTTAACAGCGCCTCCGTGTGAAAATCCTACAGAATTAGTAAATAGTGCTCCGCCGCAAGAAGAATAATTATTAGGACGTCAGAATTACAGCAGGTAATCAAATTGTTGATATTTTTGTACCACTTAAACCCCAGCTAACTACCCTCAATAATTCATGTACATTGCCTTAAATCTCAAATCCGATACAAACTTGTGATTAACATCCATGTACATTATCATCATTTATAACATTATTATGATCCGATATCAGAATTACTGAACAAATACCCTCAGGAGCAATAAACGAAGTCAAGGAATTAAATAAGCCCCAAACCCCATCTACTGTACCACAAAACTGTGCACCTATTTATTATAGATTGCAAAAATATTACGAGATTTATAGTAAAACTCGAACACGTCGCTAAATTTGATACATGTACTAATATTTTATCTGTTTATGCATGGTTACATCGGTTGGAGTCTCTGGCGAAAACATACGGATGGAATGGAAAAAACATTAATCTAACACATGACCGGCAACCTGGAAGGCAACGCGTTACTATGGTTTGGACATCAAGAGACTATAGACATCTGGCAAGACTAGAAAAACTACTTGTGGACTACTTTTCCGCTAATCCTGGACTCGCTGCAAAGCTACATGAACGAGAAGAACAGGTATTAGAACGAACGAGAAGAACAGGTATTAGATCTTTATTATAAGAAATTAGCAATATGTGAATCTTGAAGTTTAAATGATAATGTGACATGTGGTGTAATCATATAGGTGTACATTAGGAGACCCTTTGTTAAAGGCCGGAGCTTGTGGTGCAGGTTATAGAGATACACGTTCCTCTTGTGTTATTTAACAGACACCGCTGTTGACCCCTTAGCGTCCCGATCAGAAAATTATCTTATTAACAAAAACTTCAATACAAATAAACGTTTTATATGTGGTCGTAGAGGTCACGTTTCAACCAGGTGTGAAGATAGTTTACGTTACGTTTAATTTTAGGTTACGTGATAAATTAGGTCATACAGTGGATAGTTATCGATTATAAAAAAAAGTAATCATTGTCGAAAGTACGTCACGAGCGTTCCGATTGTCATAGGTAAAAAAAAAAATATAGATACCCCCAAGATATCAAACATAAAACCAATGAACATAAAAACAAATGACGACACTTTTGGCTCAGTTTGTAATAACGCTACTTGCTGTAGCCAGCGGTCGCGGGTTCGAGTCCCGCTGGGGGCATTCATTTGTGTGACTAACATAAATGTTTGTACTCCAGTCATGCGTGTTTATATATAAGAATTACATATGTGTAATATAATTATCTGGTATCCATAACACAAGCCTCTTGGCTTACCACAGAACTAGATGGTGATGTCTATGTCAAAAAAAAAATTATAAATCGGAAGAGGAAAAACCAAAACTATTTCACATTCATCCTATGGATATAGGTGGCCGTAAATATCATAAGACTGTCATTGCAAACTGTATTGAATTAAGCGCGTACATCGTTTTGGGTAGTGCTTGTAATACTATGAAATTATCTGCTGCAAATAAAATTAACTTATCGTATAATATCTAGTGTAATACTAGTATAAAAGGGCATGCAGGTCAAGTTCTAGCGCCAAAAGGTGAAACTTTATTAAAATTGAATATAGATAGAGTTAGTGTTAACACGTCTGTTTTAATAGTTGGTAATGATCTTTAAGAAACTGATAAATAAAAGTAGGATTTAGACACAGGCAGTATACACATACAACGTTCGGAACATAGATCTTTGAATAAAGAAGTAGATATTCCTGAACAAATTACAAAAATCACGGAAATATTGATTATAATAGGTATAAATGTAATAAATTTACAATATTAGTCACTCATGCTCTATTCTACAAATTGTATAGGTCGTGTTTTGCCTAAAATAAATCTTGACACTAAGAGACTATAATATCATTAATTTCGATAATTTGTTACAACATTTAGCCATGGTTTTGATGATCATACAAGGGTAGGAGAATATGATTTAGAGATAGTATTACGTCGGAATAAATGAAAATGAAATGAATGAAATGAAATATTCTTTATTGCACACCATTATTTTACATTATATAGTTGAAACAGATTATAGGAATATAGTACAATAGGCGGCCTTATCGCTAGAGAGCGATCTATTCTAGGCAACCTTTGGGTAGAGAGAAAGAAGAGAGAAGGAAGGGGTGCAAACAATCTTAAAGAGAGATACAATAAATACATACATATACAAACAGATATATACATATATACCATA